GCAGGGCAACCGAAGGAGACCCAGCCGATCAGCTGGGACTCAATGGGAGGCAGAGAAGAGGTGGGGCTGGCGGGGCCAGTCAGAGGTGGGATGGGCCGGTTCTCCAAACTACTCAACGTTTCTGCTACCGGTTCTCCAGAACCGATCCGAGCCAACTGAATCCCACCTCTGTTCTCGTGACATTGTTGATTAGGGAGCCAGTTGCTGCCCTGAGCGCGTCTCCCCAGTTCTAAAATCCGGCCTCTCCGACAGGTCAAGGACTCTTCTCCCTTCCTTCCTTTGGGGTCGGGAGGGGGCAGCCCTGGAAACGGCCCCCTCTCTCAACTCGCTTCCTTTCTTTGCTTGACAGATTTTTCCGCCCAGGTGAATTCGACCTCCTTAAGTTCTCCCACCGGCCGGGGAAGCCATATGGGCACACCTGCCCTCCACCCCTCCATGGGACCCAGCCTCGGAGGCTCCTTGGGGTCGCCCAGCCAGCTCCACTCGCCCATCAACGGCATGGGGCCCCCCTTCTCCGTCATCAGCTCCCCGATGGGGCCTCACCCCATGTCTGGACCCTCCACCCCCGGCCTCGGATACGGAGCTGGCAGCCCGCAGGTGAGTCCCCGGCCCTCTGGCTCAGGTGGGGGGGGGGCCCGAGGGGGGGATTTGGAGGGGGGTCTTCCGAGGGGCTGTTCTTTTTTTTTTCTTTTTTGTAAAAAGTTTTTTATTTTTTCACATTTCAAAAACACCTTTTTTGGTGAACAGCACGATTCCAACCTGGAATCGTGCTGTTCACCAAAAAAGGTGTTTTTCTACATTTTCCTACAAACGTGACCTTAGTTACATATTCATCTTTCACATTTAATTTCGTATCCTATCATTACGTTGCATATTTTCTGTCTCAAATACTTTTCTCGAACTTATTATATATATTTTTTCTATTCATTTCTTGACCTAATTCTTTTAACTTTAAATAATTCTTTTATCTTCCTTATTCATTAAACGTCATACTTTTATCTGTCAGGTTTGCAATTTCGTGGCATATTCTTAAATGATCATTTGAAAACGTCCGTCCCAGTTCAAGCAATTCAAAAGATTTCCCCAATTGCCCATTTGACGTACCCCCCCCCCCTTTACCTTAGACGCCGTTTAGTTAACTCCCCTTTAGCCCCGAGGGGGCTGTTCTGACGGCTGTGTGTGGGGGGGGCTGAGCACCCCACTTTCGCTCCAGGTTCCACCTGCCACCTCATCCCTCTCCTGCACCTTCGTGCCCCGGTTGGGGTGGGAAAGGGAGGGGACCCCTTCCTGTCTTTTTGGTGTAGATTTCCTGAGGAAAGTATTAAATATTAAGAACTGCAGGGCACGTAACAGGGCGGTTCTTGGGCAAACATGCAGGGAATAAGAAGAAACAGGCCCCATTGCTGCCCGTCGGAGGACTGGGGGCCCTTCCTGGGGCTGCTTTCCCCCCCAAGTGGCACATGGAGCGTTGTGTGTGTGTGTGGTGGTGGTGGGGTTATAGCCAGACCCATCTGGCACCATCTCTCTCTCTCTCTCTCTCTGCCTCTGCACCCCACTGCAGAGGAGACCGCCTTGTCTGGGGGCTTTGCTGCAGGTGTGTGCGTGTGTGTGTCCGCTGTGCTGCTTCAGAGAAAATGTGCTCTTGTTGAAAGACGATGAATGGTGCCCAACGCCCAGGCTAAGCCCTTTGGCCTCCCCCTGAGCAAGGGAGGGGCTCAAGGGGTGTGGGCTACCCTGGAAGGTGCAGGTGTGGGGGGGGCTTTCCTCCCCTGGGATGGAGCCGGCCCTGCTGGCTAGGCAGACCTGGGGGTGAGTCTTCCAGGGCAGAAGCCCTGCCCCGCAGAGGCTGCATAGAAAGAGGGAGAGCCGAGCCGAGCCAGGTGCCACCTGTTACCTGTCCTGGAGCTGGGCTCCCCTTTGCCCACCCAGGCAGGGGAGGAGGGGAGGGGGTGACCCAGCGGGGGAGGCCCGGAGGACACGGTTCAACCCCCCCCAAACGTTGCTGCAGCCGCCTGGACTGCTGCTTCCGGCTGCTGCCCAGGCCCTGGGCCTCAGCCAGATTCCCAGAGGGCTGGCAAGGGTGGAGGCCAGGGGGCACAAGGGAGCGGCGGCCTGCAGGCTGAGTGCCCCTCTCCCTGCAAGTGGGGTCTCCGCTTGCCGCAAGGAGCCTGGAGAGCCATGGGGGGTTGTGCCCTATATCGCACACCCCCCCCACTATTTTCTGTGCCCTTCTGGAGGGAGAAGCCCCTACAGGCTCTGAAGGGCAGGTGGCTTCTGAGCATGCACAGAAGGCTTTCCCAGGTGGCCTGCGTGGCAGTGGGGGCAGGAGTGACTTTTGGGGGTTGCTGCATTCAATCCACCCTCCACCTTGGTCCGCCCTGAAAGGCGACTGTGGCACAAGAAGGAGGAAGCCGGGGGGGGGGGGGGGGGGCCTTTGACCCCCCCAAAAAAGGGGGGGGGGGGGGGGGGGGGGGGGGGGTGGGCCCGGGCTGGGGGGGGGGGCTTCTGAGCCTGCTGTGACATCACAGGAGTTCAGCCAATGGCTGGGGGCCAGAGAAGCCCAGCGATTGGCTCTCGGTTTGTCATGGACTTTCCCTTCCCTTCCCTAGAGGAGAAACTGAGCGGGAGGCAGGAGCTGCTCCCCAGGGTCCGATTTGGGGGGGAGGGCAGAAAGTCACCCCTCCCCAGGGGCTCCAGTTCAGCTTGAGTCTGTGAGGTCAGGAGGGGGAGCGCTGCCCATCAGGGGTGTCCCCCCCCCCAGGGGTGGGATGCCAATGTCTTCACTACCGGTTCTGTGGGCGTGGCTTGGTGGGCGTGGCAGGGGAAAGGAGGCCGCGAAATCTCCAGTCAGAGGTGGGATTGGCCGGTTCTGCAAACTACTCCAAATGGGGAATTCTGGGAGTTGAAGTCCGCCAGGCTTAAAGTGGCCAAGGTTGAGACCCCTGTCACGTGCACATCTCTGTCCGATACCTTTTCCCTTTGCAACGGGCGTCGTCCTGCAGAATAACGTCCCAGTTCTGCTAAGCGAGCGGACTCTCTTCTCTCCCGGGCTGCTTTCCTCAGAGGCTGCTGGCTCCGTTCCCAGCCTGTCTACGCAGCGCCACTGCTCCCTCCCTGCCCCCTTGCTGCCCTTTCCCCCCCCCCCCCCCCCCCCCCCCCCCCCCCCCCTGCCGCTTTCCCCCCCCCCCCCAGCCCCCCATTACTGGCCAGAAAGAGGCTTCCTCTCCTTTCTAAAGAACTTTGCAGCGAGTAAAGGAAACGGGGCCACATGCAATCGCACTTGTTTGGCCAATTGTCTCCCGGAGTCGGGCAGCCGATACGCTTAAACAAACAAACACGTAACCCAGAAGGAGGTTCCAGATAATCCCCGCTGAGGAGGCTCAGGGACACCGGATGGAGCCCGGAGGGTTCAGGTACCAGTCATGCGCGGCCAGACTGACTGGCACCGGCCTTGGAGATGCCAGCCTGTGGAGCTCAGCGTCCCGTCCGTGGCTTTTACTGCCCAAACCAGTCCACAGTCGTCCTGTGGATGTTAGGGCTGCATCTAGATATTGGGCCTCCGCCTGCCGTGGCTCCTTCCAGCGTTGGTTCCTTTGAGCAAGGCGTCCATCCGTGGGCCTGGGGGGATGGGGTGGGGGGGGCACCTTTCCCTGTGGGTCTTCTTTGCTTCCTCCCTTCTGGCTGGAGACCCCTGTGTGGGCAAGGGCCTCTCCTCGGGGCTTCTTTCTGGAGGGGGCTTTTTTCCTCAGGAGGGTCAGCTGGGGGCCAAGTCAGAAAGGGCCCATCGCAGGGGAACCTTCAGGAGCTGCTGCACCCGAAGAGGCCAAACCAGAGACCCCGAGTATGTCTATCCTAGGGAGGTCCTCTCGGCCAGCCGTAACGCTGGGCTTTCTGGCGTCCAGTCCCCTCCGCACCTTCCCTAGAGGGTGGGCTGCCTGTCCCCCGCACCCCACATGTGAGCACCTCGCATCCGCCTCACCCTGAGAGGGAAATGCCTGCTGGAGAGGGGGGCTCCCCCAGCCCCCTCCCTGCTTCGTTAGGCTGCTGGAGAAGGTCTTCCCCAGAAGTGGGTGGGGGGTCTCTGTGCAGGGTCTATTGCAGTGCAGCCTCCTAGCTGGGATGGCGAATTTGTGCCACACGTGCCAGAAGTGGCACGCAGAGCCACCTCTCGGGAAATGCCAGCCGTCTCCCGCTGCTCTTCCGGTTCTGGCGAACCGGCCAGCTGGTCTTAACATGTGCGGAAGCGCCGGGAGAGCAGCCAGTAAGGTGATCTTCCAGTTTCCTACATGCACATGCGTGTTGGTCACCTGGTCTTCCAGTTTCTGGTGCAGCTGGTCTTCGCGTGTGCATGCTTGCTAGAAACTGGACGCTGATGTGCATGTGCGTGCACACATGCGCTCTCCCGTTTCGGCACTTGGTACAGAAAGGTTTCACCAACACTGTCCTAGGACTTTCCCTGGCTGCTCCGGAGGCCCTTCGGTTGCCTTGGAGTGAGCCAGGGCTCCCAAGTGGAAGATCCCCACCGCCCAGGAAGGGTCTCCCCATTGTTGCCTGGGTCCCCTGCTGGAAGAGCAGAGGGTTACCGGGGTGGGGGTGGTTTTACCCCTTCCTCACCAGGGGCGAAGAGCAGCTGGCAGTGGAGGCTCACCCGGAGCCTGGCCTTGGTCTCCGGGCCTCTGGGTGTCCCTGGGTGTGCACTCCAGTCGAGTTGGACGCCCAACTTCTGGCGGTATGGAGCTGTGTGGTGGGCAGAAGTGGTTCCTTGCCCTGGGCCATGCTGGTGGGATGGATGGCTGCTAGGGGCCCCCACTGAGTCCTCGCCCTGGGCACGTGGCACGAGTGGGAGAGGAAGGCTGCTGGCGCCTGGTGGGCGGGGAGGAAGGAAGCAAAGTGGCGCCAGGCTGGGCCAAAAGGGGAACCCCTTGCGGTTGTGGGGGTGTCCCCTCCAGAGGCTCTGACTCAGCAGCTGCTCCAGGGAGCACCAAGGCAAGTTGGGCAGAAACGCTGCTCCCCCCCCCCCCCCCGTGTCCTTCTCTGTCTCCTCCAGTGCACCATTTCCCCAAGCCCCCTTCGCCCCTTCCCCGAAAGGCCTTCCTTCCTTCCTGGGAACTTTTGTGGGGTGACAGATGCAGGGAGGGTAGAAATGGGGATACCCTCACTGGCCAGAGTCCCATCCTCCCCCTCCTCCCCCAGACCAGAAGCTCTTCACCCTACAGACTCTCTGGGCCTGGCATGCAGAGGGTGAGGAGACACCCCCCCCCCCCCGGGTTTAGTGGGGGGGGGGAGTTCTGTGTTGCAGGCATAACAAATGCCTGGTGGGGGTTCGAAGGTTAATAAAGACAGTTGCTCTGGGCTTTAATGGGGATCTAATACCTCAGAATACTGAATTGTTTCTAAAAGGTCTTGAGATTTATTGGTTCTCTCCTGAGACCTGAAAGGCGGCTTCAAGATCCACACCGACTCCCCTCGCTGGAACAATGTGCTGCTGCTGGGTGCCCCTTCCTGCCAGCCTCCTGATCCCCAGACAGGGGAGGAAGGAACTGGGCTTTGGCCCTGGCACAAACGCCCCCGTCTCTCGGGCAGCGGAGCTGAGCGAGCGGGGAGTTTCGCAGGAGGAAGCGGCCTCAGGAAGAGCGGCCATGGGCTCTTCCCAAGAACGGCTGCCCACAAGGGCCCCACCCACCTTGGTGCCACCCAGCGGCCAGGGAGGCACGTTGCCCTCGGTTGACGCAGCTTAGGACTGCGTTGGCTTCGGTGGCTGCCGCTGCCGGCTCCTATTTAGCTGGTTGTCCACTCGGACTCTCACGGCGACTGCCGTGCCTCCCCCTCCCCACCGCAGCCTTTCTGTCCCGGCACCGGGCCATGCAGCTGCTTCTGGACCCAGCCCAGAACCCCCAGCCAGGAGCTCCCCGTCTGCACTGCCAGCCATGGGAGTGGGGTGTGTGTGCGTGTGCACGTGCACGTGCGCGCGCGCAGCCCAGGTCTGGGGTTTAATGGGGGGCCCTCCGGGCAGCCTGTCGCCCGAGGTGGGCCCAGGCGGGACAAGAGAGGCAGGCCAGCTATGGAGGAACGATCAGGCCAGCTGCCCTGGGAATGGATAGAGAAATGGAACAAGCCCAATAAAACACCCAGAAGTTGCGTTTTCGTAGAAATGGGATCCATGTTGCTGAGCGAAGTCAAGAAGATTTCATGCAAACCTACTCAAAAGGGGGAAGTCTGCCAGCTCTTTTAGCTTCATCTGCCGGCGGTGTTGGTTTCATGTGATGGGGAGAAGGGGAGGGAGAAGGGGAGCAGCCCAGTCAGGAGGTCTCCCCTTGGCCCGGGCAGAGGAGGGGCTGGCGCAGGAGGGGGCCGGGGAGGGGGCCTAGCCCGGCAGGCCGAGGCGTTTCCCTTCCTCTTCTGTGGCAGGAAGGAAGGAACCGAGTCTCACTTCCCAAACAGGCACAGGAGCCAGGAGATCAGGTTCTGCTGAGGGCGGCATTTTCCGAGGGAGAAGCGGGCCGTGAAAAAAGGCTCACGAGACCCGTTGGATCTGGGGAAATTCCTTGGGCAAAAGGTGAACGTGGCGATGCAGAAACACCTTAGAGCCTCGGTGGCTCAGTGCTCAGAGGGCAGGACTGCAGGCTCCTCCTGCTGCCTGCCGGCTGCCTGCAGTTTGGCAGTTCGAATCCCACCAGGCTCCAGGTTGACTCAGCCTCCCGTCCTTCTGGGGTGGGTAAAATTATGAGGACCCAGATTGTTGGGGGAAAGAGGCTGACTCTGTAAATAGCGGCTAGAGAGGGCTAGAGAGCACTGTGAAGAGGCGTATAAGTATAAGGGCTATTGCTATTAGAAGAAAGCTCTTGAAAAGTTGCCAACTGCCAACAGGCCTCAGGAAAAGGAAGAATGGGGCCAGCGCAGAATTGGCAGGAGGCATCCGCCCTCTCCAATTTGCACGAGCAAAATGAAATGGGTGCCCCACCCCAGCCGTAGCCCATTCAGAAGTCACTCCTCCAGGGACGTGTGTGTGTGTGTGTGTGTGTGTGTGTGTGTGTTTGTGTGTGTGTGTGAAGCTTTTGCCTCCCTTCTGAGGTGGGCTTTTTCTGCGCTGCCGTTCAGGCTGGCCCGCTGGCTCCTGAAATGGGGAAGGGGGTGGGGGTCAACCCTGCCCAGCACGGGGACAGGAGCCCCGAGGAGATTTTGGGTTTCAGGGTTTCTAATCACAGCCTCCCTTTCTTCCCCCCCCCCCCAGCTCAACTCCCCGCTGAACCCCGTGAGCAGCACAGAAGACATCAAGCCCCCCCTGGGCCTCAATGGGGTACTCAAAGTGCCAATGCACTCTTCCTCCGCCATGCCCGCCTTCACCAAGCACATCTGCGCCATCTGCGGAGACCGCTCCTCAGGTAATGCCAACCTCGCCCTGTTGCTAGCCGGCATCTAACTGCCCTGCCCAGGTCTCTGCTCCCAGTTGGTCCTTGGCTGCCCGCTTGGCAGGGGGGGGGGGCGTTTCCCACAAGTGGCGTCACAAAAGGCCCCAAGCTCTTCCTGCCTGGGGGAATGCCAAGATGGGCAGCTGAATCTCTCCCTTTCCCCCCCCCTCCCCAGATTCTGGGGCAGAGAGAGAGGCTGGCGGTGCCCTCCCTCTGTGTGGATGTCACTCCTGTCCCCTTAACCTTCCTGGGTGGCAAGAGGGCTCCTCTGAGAAAGGAACAGGCTGGCACTTGCCCCCCCTGCACCAGAGGGCCAGCCAGGGGCTGAAGCAATACGTTTCTTGGAGGCAGCCGTTCCACTCGCCCCGCCCGTCCCGTCCCGCCTCCCTTCCCACCGGGCCCTGGTGCCAAGCGGGGCCTCCTTCCGCCCCTACCAGCCCTGCCTGTCTTCTCCCGCACCCTTCAGGCAAGCATTACGGGGTGTACAGCTGCGAGGGCTGCAAGGGCTTCTTCAAGCGGACGGTGCGGAAGGACCTGACCTACACTTGCCGGGACAACAAGGATTGCCTGATCGACAAGCGCCAGCGGAACCGGTGCCAGTACTGCCGCTACCAGAAGTGCCTGGCGATGGGCATGAAGAGGGAAGGTGAGGCCCGGAGAGCTCAGGCCGTGGAAGGGCGGTCATAACTGGGAAGGAATGGAAGGGCTAGATTAGAAGGGGATTTGGAGGTCCTCTAGACCAACTTCCTCTCAACGGGACAATTGTATGGTTTTCACATTTATCCATCGACCGTGCAGAATCAGTCAAGCCCCCACCAGCCCCTTTGCTCAGGCGTTGCCTTGTTCCTCGCTTGTGTGCGGTTTGGTGTAACTGTCAGGCCTGCTCCACTCAGGATCCCTAGGCAGGAAAGACCCTCGACTCCAGTTGCTTGAAGTGGCAGGTTCTTTTGCTGAGGATTAGTGGTTGCAGTCAAAGCCAGGCTAGACCGGAATATTCCCGCATCACGGTTACACTTTTCCCCTTTCCACGGCCTTCCCCCTTTGTCCCTTTCACTGGTATCCAGGAGCAGGCTGCTCAGAGGTTTTGGGGAACCGCTTAGCTGTTTTGGCAGGGTCTCGGTACAGTTTCTCACTCGGCTCCCGGGCCAGGTGTCCTTGGTGGCTGGTTCATCCCGGTGCAGTTTGATGGAGGGGAGTCCAGGCTGGACACTCCGTTCTTGGTCACGTGCAGGTCAGACCGAGAACTGCCATGCTTGACCCAGGACCGCGAGGGAAAGGACCCTCCCTTCTCGGGAAAGGGGGCGGCCAGGAACAGCAGAGTTCATTGCCAGCTTCATGCAAAACAATTCCCACCGCTCGTTTTACTCCTCACAACTCTACTTCTCTCCACGATTTCATTTTGCACCAGCGTCCATCCCATGACCAGAGGACGTAGCCTTTTGGGGTCCCTCCCATTCTCCTTGAAATACTCCGATGTGATCATAAGGACTAGACACTTAGGGGTTTTATATATATATATATAAGTCTGCCTGAGATTGTGATGAAGTGGGTTTCATACTTTGGAATTCCAATTTTGGCGCCGTCTTTTCTCCTCTTCACGTCCTCCTTGAAAGCTACCCAGGAAGCAGCCCCCTCCTCTGGCTGGCCCTGGTTGCACTGTCGCCTAGTGCCAGTCAAGCCAACTGGCACCTGCCTGTCTCCTGGGCTTGGGGTGGTCCCGATTCCTGCAGCCCTTGTCCGCTTCCCCCACCCTATGGGACATTCCTCCTCTGTCCATGGCCTCTTCCAGAATTTCTGACTGGGGCGCAGGGGTGGGAAATAGGAGACCATTCAGATGGGGGGCGGGGGGGGTGTGTTCAGAGTTTTGCAGTGCAATTTCAGTGCCAGAAAAGTAAACACAGATGGCAGAAGATTCATTGAACTTCTTTATAAACACATAAAGTAAATGGAGCAAACTCAAACAGAAGCAGACCCGTTACAGGTTCAGGGCAGAACAGCAGCAACTCGAGAGCTCAGTTTCACTTTAGGTCAACAGGCAAGCAAGACACACAGCAGAGGAGAGAAACAGCGTCATCTTCAACAGGCAGACTCAGAGCTCAACAGAGCTTAATATGGAGCCACCCCTAGGCTCCTTGCAGTTTCAGTTTCCAAACAGTCCTCATTGGCTGACTTAGTTGCAAGGCCTACTCATTGTCTGACCTTGTTACCATTCTCCATTCCTGTTCATGAATATACTCTGACAGGGTGAACCCCAAGAGAAAACTGGAATTGGGGCGAGAGGGCTCCTCTGGGAACCCCGCCTGCCTTTTGGGGCAGCAGCGAGCCCTGGCAGTCCCCCCCTTGCAGGTGTGGGGCAATCACCTGGGGTGGCAGGTGGCTTCACTTCTGGAGCAAAGACCCCAGAAGCAAGAGACATCCCAGGCAGGAGAGGAGAGGAGAGGAGAGGAATGCCCCCGCTGTTCTCCGGCAACCCCTCTTCAAGATAGTCTGCCTCTGCAAGGGGAGGTTCCCTCCGGACAGCACCCTTCCTTACCTGCATCAGGCTCAGGTAAAACAGAACCGTCTGCCCAGCAAGCTGTTCTCGGGAGCAATTTTTCATTTCCTTCACCGGAAGTAGGAATCGTGGTAAATAAAAAGGCAGTCAACTGTTCAGAAACAAAACGTGGGTGTGGGGTGTGTGTGTGTGTGTGTGTGTGTGTGTGATCATAATGGCCCTACGAAGAGATGGGGGGTGGGGTGGGGGGGCTGGGGGTCTCCCTTGCTTCCTGCCCCTTTGTTTGGAAGGAGGTGCAGAGGAATGGCGGCCTCCGTTCGGGATCTTGTGGGGTTTGGTTCAGAGAGCAGGTCGTTGCTTCCTGCCTTGGGCTCAGCCCTGGGGCCACGCAGTGCCCTTCGTCTTCCGGGGAAGGCATGCAACGTTGGGTGCCCCCCCCCCGCCCCCCCGTACACACCCATGGCTGCCAGCTCCCTCGGAGCCCACCCTCCTGGGCAGGGGTCTCCAACCTTGGCAACTTTAAGCCTGGTGGACTTCACCTTCCAGATTCTGGGCGTTGACGTCCGCCAGGCTTAAAGTAGCCAAGGTTGGAGACCCCTGCTCCCGGGGTCTCTAGCCAGGCCGCCCTTGCCCTCTGATAGCTTTCCTTGCCAGTTAAGGTTGGGGGTGGAAAAGAGGTCTTGACCTTCCCTTGTTTAATTGTTTAAGCCGTAGGAAGCCACCGACTTCTTTTAATGGCTCAGGGTGCTTTCAGTACCTAACTGGAACATCAGAGGTAAAATTACAGCCAAGGTCTGGGTTTTAAATCACTTCCACGTGATGTAATTAAGAGGCTTGGCCTCTGAGCATCCTCCCCATGGCTAGCAAAGAGGCAGCTTGTTGCAGGCTGAGGCTGCCCAGCGTTGGTGGAGCTGCAAGCAGTTTAACAACCGGTTCTATGGGCGCATGCGCAGCATTCAATCAACCCCCATTTGAACCTCTCTCCAGCTCACCTTCTAGCCTTCCCCAGTAAGTAGAACAGCTGAGGCGTGGTAATCCACTGTGCTGCGCGAATCAGCCGAGCTGCAAAAGACGGTTGCTCGTACCGGTTAGCTAGAACCATCCCGAACCAGCAGCAGCCCCCACTGCTGCCCGGGGAGGGCGGAAGTCACCAGAGAAGGAGAGCTGTGGGCACAACAGGACCTGCCAGACCCCTCAGGAAGATACGGGCAGGAAGGCTGAGCTCCCTGCGGTCTTTGGGTGGCTGGTGCCCAAGTCACCCAAACTGGGTCTTCCTCCTCCAGGTGGGAGCCAGGTGGTTTCTCAGCCAAAGCTGCTCAAGGCTCCCTTGGCACCCGTCCAGGATCCTGCAGGCCCAGGCTGCCCCCTGGCACTCTGCAGGGGTGGTGTGACCTCACCTGGGGCATATCCAGGCCTAGGTCCAGGTTCAGGATGGGGATTTCTGTGCAGTGGCCTGTGGGAGATGGGGCCCGTTGAATTGGGGCCTTTTTTAAGAGGGCAGGAAATGCTGACCAGGGCTGCTGGGAGCATTAATGCTGCTCTGTTTGTGGGCAAAGCCTTTAAACGGCCTTAAGTAGCCAATCCCGGCAGGGATCTAGCCTCTGGGCGGTGGCATTCCAGAAGCTTCTTCACTGTTGGACTGTGTGATGGACTCTGGAGGAATGGGTCCAGCCCAAGCTGTGTGAAGTAGCACCCAGGCTGCTCGAATGCCATCTGGGCATCAGCCAGAATCACCAAAGACACGGTCCCTTGGACAGCTCTCCACGGAAGCCACACGGCTCCACAGAAGAGGTAGCGATGCCATGATTGTGCCTGCGCAACTCCCCCACTGGGCAACCTGCCCTTGAGTCACCTTCCCTCCGGGTGAGACGAATGCCACTCCCTCCTTGTGTTCCGGGTCCCATCATCCTCGCTGTGGCTGCTGCTGCTGCTGCTCTCCAAGCTCAAGCAGAGCTCAAGGCCAGAGCGATGGTTTGCGCTTCTCCAGGTCCTGTGGCTGGCTGGGGAGGAGGGCTTCCTTCTACGAGGCTTCCGGGGGCTTCCAGAAATTGCATAGAAATTCGGCCTGGGTGTTCTGCTCTCGGCCTTGAGCCCTGGAGATCTGAATTCATTTGAGGTCAAGAGACACTCCCTGCTCAGGTCTCTGAGATGCCCCAGCTGGGATCCTCTTCCTTCTGCTCCCCCCTGCCCCCCTTCTTAACTTCCCAGGGGACCACTTATCCTCTCCCCAGAGGAGGTTGCCTGCCCGGAGCGGAGGGCTTCTGCTTGTTTTCTGTTGTCGGTTGGCTGCCTTCCCGGAGTCTCTGACACGGCGATTCTTTCCCTTCTGGGCTCCACGTATCTCAGAAGTTCCTCCTGCTCTCCTCAACGGTGCCCGAGAACCGCCGTGGCTTCTGGGCACTGGGTTTCTTCTGCCCTTCCTTGGCAGCCATCCCTGCTTGGCCCGTCTCTGGTTTCTGCGCCAAGAAACCAGAGGTGACCAGGGTAGAAGGAAGCCAGCGCCCAGCATGGTCAGCCCTCAGTGGAGAGGCCTCGAGGGGCTCCAGAAGGAGGTGACAAATCCCTCGGCAGGCCCTCAAACCTGGCAAAATCACGAGCGAATGCCATCGTTCTGGACGGCTCAGAATACTGGCGTTGGCTGGCATTGCCCCCTCTGATGAGAACAGCGCTCAGGAGTGCCCACAGCCTTGGAGAAGGCTGCCGTTTGCTGGCTTTTTCCATCCCAGGGAGGGAAACGCTAGCGAGTGCCAGCTTTCCTGCCCCCCCTCCCCCCGGTGGGGAAAATGCCAGCGTTCTGAGGGTGGCATTTACCAGCGTTGAGACCAGATTCAAAAGAGGCCCCTTCCCCCAGTGCGTGGGAGGGTGCGTGCGTGCGTGGATGCCCGGAGCAGAAGGGAAATCCTTCCTTCCCCTGCAAGAGCGGACCTCCCGTCGGAACCTCTCCTCCGCTTGCAACCTTCCCTGCTGGCTTCCTCACTGACTTTCGGGGGAACCCTGCGGAGAAAACTGCAAATGGGCAGCACACGATTGACGGCAGGGCACTTGGGCTGTAAATCAGAAGAGTTTGTCAAGCACTTTATAATGACTGGAAGTGATTTAGGGGCCCATAAACCATCAGTTCTTGAGGCTCTTGTAGCTGCGGGCAGGAAATACATTTGCAGGGGTGAGCTGAGGATCACCTGTGTTGGATACAGCAAAGGCTGAGCAACCCTGAAAAAAATAACAGGGGAAAAGTCCCCCCTCGATGCGAGGATAGTTTTTTTAGCCAGGCAAAAAAGTTCTTCGTTTCCCTAGTATACAATTTCTGATCTTGATAAACAAACAGAGCTTTTCTCAGAAGAAACAACCCCGAAACATTAAATATTCTTATCAGTAGAAGAACCTAATCGACGATCTGGAGCTGAGCTGAGAACGCTGTTTTTTTTCTCCTCTGGAATGTGTGTGTGTGTGTGTGTGTGTGTGTGTGTGTGTGTGTGTGTGTGAACGGCAGCCGTAGGCTTTGCTCTGCAGATGAGAGTCATGCGCCTTCCGAGGCCAGGAAATGGTTGTGGCTTCCATGTGGTCGATGTTTGTGAAACAGAGAATCCACAGAGAGACGTTACTCAATCTGAGAACTCGGAAAGAACGAGAAACGGCCTGATTTTAAAAGCAGGCAGGCTGGCAGGCTGCCGAGAGACACCCACCCAGCGCACAGAAACAAGGGCACGTTCCTCTTCTAGGAGTGAGCTTGACCTGATCCAGGGCCTCCTGGGATGGGATGTGGGGGGCGGCTGCTGTTTGTGCCAGACGCTGCCCTCTTGGGGGGCAGACCTCTCCTGCTAGGCAGGAAGGCTCCCCGATGCCACCTCCGAGCTCGGCTGCTCTGCTTTGCAGTGGCTCTTTCAACCCGCCATAAACTCTGGGCACCGGACCGGGGGTGGGGGTGGGGGACACACGTCGGAGTCCGAGGCCATCCACCTGCCGGGGTCCTCCCTTTGGCTGGGCCCAAGCTGGCCCCTATTCTAGAGAAACGAGTTTTATTTGATCTCAAACGAGGGCAGCACATTGGGGATTCCCCTGGGAATTGTCCTGCCCCACCATAGTGCCAGGAGGGCCACCTCGTTTCCCCAGGGACGTCTCCTTTCGGCTTGGGAGGGGCAGGGGCCCATGGCCAGAGGCGCTCAGCCCCTTCGCCCCCTCCCACGCTAAGAAAGGCTCCGCATGCGTTGAATGTGTTGGCGGCCTCTCTTCAGCCCAGCTGAAAGATCCACCGGGGAACCAAGTAGCCATCGCCCTTAGACGTCTAAACCGCTTCCCAGGGCTTTCACGGCCCTCCCTAAGCAGTTGACGGAGTCAGCCTCTGGCCCCCCAACAACCCGGGTCCCTCATTTGACCCACCTGGGAAGGACGGGAGGTTGAGTCAACCTGGAGCCAGTCAGGATTGAACTCCTGTCTGTGGGCAGAGTCACCTGCAATGCTCCCCTTTAGCCAGTGCGCCCCCAAAAGACTTTAGCCAGTGCCCTTTAGCCAGTGCGCCCCCGTTCAGACTTACTCTCTGTGTAAAGGAAGGCAGAGAAGCCCGGGGGAGGCCGTGAGCGTCGCTGGTCCTGCTTCGATGGGAGGAAGTAGCCAGTAATGCCTGCTCTCTTCTTTTTCCTGCCTGAGTCCTAGCAGCTTAGGAGAGTCGTGTGGTGGCCTAGGGGCGGAGCTCCCGCCTCAATTCAGGAGGCTGTGAGTTCAATCCTAGGTAGAGGCAGATATTTCTCTCCATATATATCTGCTGAACAAAAACTCCGCATTGGCGACAGGAAGGGCATCCGGCCAGTAAACACTCCGCCCCGTTCAGTTGCCCAGACTCCACCCCAAGGCGAGGGATGACGGGGTTATTAAAAGGAGATGTTCCAGCAGATGAAGAAAAAAGGAGCCCCCTCCCGCTTCCTCTCATCCCCCCCCCGGCCCCCCCCCCCAAGGGCCCTGCCCGGGGGGGGGGGCCCGAAAAGGGGGGGGGGGGGGGGGCTGGGAGGGCCCGTTGCCCTCTGGCCACAGAGATTTCATCTAAGAGGGCTAAGGGAGGAGAACACCTTGAAAACCTGGGCCAGAAATAACGCCCCCACAACCCCCCCCCCGGGCTTTCTCCCTGGGGAAATGTGCAGGTGTTTTTGGGGAGCAGCAGCGATTTAATGACTGAAACATGCACAGCCGCGGCTGCTGCCTCTCTTCTAATGATGTTTCATTTCCAAATCTCTACTCTATTGCAGGGATGGAGCACCATCCATCCCGACCCACAAGACTCCCTGGAAGGCAGGAGCAACCAGGTACTCCCATTTCAATCTTACTAGACCAGCTGTTAAGCAGCAAAAAAATCTCTTGGTGTCCCCAGAGGGTGACCTGGAGAGGCTGAGTCCTCCCAGAATCGGCCGAGACCCTTCCACTCTGCAGGGGCAGGTTTCCCTGGCCAGAAAAGGAACACACACGCACGCACACACACACGCACGCACACACACCTGCCGAAGAGACACGGAGGGCCCAATCCCAGAGGAGCAGCAGGGTAAAAGGAGAGGCTAACCAAGGGATGCAGTAAGGCCACGAGGGAGCAAGTGCTTTCTGTGGCTTGTGGTGGGCTGGAACGTGGCTCTCTTGCGGGGCCCGTTCCACCTTGCACCATGCAAGCTTTCCATGCACTGGAGACAACCATAGCGCCGCAAGGCAGCAGGCTGAGGAAGGCCGGTGCCTGGGGCTCAGCATCTGCATTACTGCAGCCCCGACTGGCCGTTGCTTCCGAGGCGGGTGGCGGCTGGAGGATCCTGGAAGCCAGAGCTTGCACTGCTAATGCAACAGGCGGCTGAAGCGGGAGGATTCGGGCAGGCGTTCTCGGTCCGCGCGGCCCTTAGCCGTTTCCAAGCTCTGCCTTGCGATGTCCGAGGGGCCGCAGCAAACTCAGAACTTCACGGGTCCCTTTAGTGAACAGCGAAACGTTCTGTGGCAGCCCCGAGGATTTGGGAAAGGGCGCATTGGCGACCGCTGCATTCATGCCGTTAACCGGATCGTTGTGGGCCTGAGAATCCACAGGCAGGTGTTCCGTGGGGCTCATGCGCAAAGGCAGTCTAGCTCAGCATCACAGCAGGGCTGGGAACAGGGGGTGGGCAGCGTCCCCTCCTCTCCCTTTCTGACTCGGTGTCCGGTGGACGGGGTTTCCTGTGTGCGGCAAGGGAGGTTGTAGCAGGCAGGCCGGCCATTGGCAGCAGCGTCCCCGGCAGCCGTTCCCCAAAGACCTGGGCGGGTGTGAAGTTCTGGGCTGGACTTCGGGCCTTTGTTGTGTCTCAGCAGTGAGCGTCACGCACGGAGGAAATGGTGGGCCACTTAGAAGGAGGGCTGGCGGGGCAGAGGGGCCACCAAGGAATGGGTGGCCCCAAAACAGGCCACTGGCTGCAGTGCACGAGCAGGCAGCAAAACTGAGTTGCTGCAAAGCTTGGCCAATTCAGTGCCGGGCCCTGCAGTTTTCCGTTGTCGGATGGTGGCTGAAAACAGGAGGAGAGGGGAAAGGGCGGTCTTTTCACCCTGAAAACTGGATTTGGGGGTTTTGTAGTCTGCTTTAGAGAGATGGATACTTTAATACAAGCACAGCAAACGAAAAGCGGAGCCAAAGAACAGATCTTACGGTGTTGCCCTGGGCCTCCCTGCAGCAGGATAAATGTCTGACCCTTTGAAGAAAAGGAGTAATTCCGGGAAGGGAAAATTCTACCCCGTTTGTCACCAGGATTGTCAGCCTTCCAGTTCTGGGTTCTCGCCATGCCCAGCAAATGCCAGAAGAAGAATTTACCCAAAATAACCCTCAGTAGGGTGACTTGGCACAAAGGAACCAAATTTAGTCGGGCCTACCCTCGACTAAACTGACTGCAATTTGGGGAGGGGGCAGAATCAGAGTGGCAGAGGATAAAGCCAAGAAGGGCCGCTTGCCTTAGGGTTACCGAGACGAGGAAGGGGTCCACCTGAAAGCCAGCGGCGTTTCTGCCGCATCCCTGTGTGACGCAGAAAGTCGCTCTCCTCTGATCTCTTGGGGAGCTGTTGGCCAAGCTCGGAAGGGACCCGGTTAATGGCCCCTCTAAGGAAGCTGCTCAGGCCCCTCGCGCAAAAGCCACATTTTGCACCATTGCTGTGTCAATTAGAAATCTCTGGAGCTAATTGTTCTCCCCCCCCGTCCCCCCCGTGTGTTTAGTCTATGGCTGAATAAGTTTTATCGGCTGCTGTGCAAAGTGTGGTGAGGCTTCAGCGTGTTTGGTCTGTGACTGCGTATTTTAAGGAGCTAGACGGACAGCCCAGAGGCAGGAGCTCAGCCAGGGCAACCCTCCCACTGGGTGCTTCCGCCTCCACCACCTCCGGAGGGTGGGTGGGTGGGCGTCTCCCCCACCACCACCAGGAACAAACCCCGCTCATTTCCGAATGGAAACACACCACAGCTTCACCATGCTTCGAACTGCTTTCACGGGGGGCGCGGGGGGGCCCTGGGGCTGAGCCCCTTGCAAGGTCAAAGCACCCAGGCCTGGAGTTCCCACAGCCTGCTGGGCCTGTCCCACATGCTGGACAAAGTCAGGGCTCCCTGAAGTCTAGGCCAAGCGGGCCTTCGCCCCGGAAAGGCAGCTCCTGCCCCATGGAGACTCCGTGCCATTCTGCCACGTGGGAGGGCAGCCCTCGGGTTTGGGGTGTGTGTGTGTGTGCCATGTTTTGTCTCTTTATGTCCTGCCTGAGGGCCACGGGGGGTTTTCAGCCCAGCCGAGGTGTGTCTGGAGGGAGCTTCTGGGTGAGGTGGGAAGGGGAGAGTTAAGGTCCCACTTAACCCCCGCCCCCCCCAACACCCCCCCCGGAAAAATTAGCTCAGTTTGGGGCTGCCAAAAGTTTTTTAAGGCTGTAATTTCCCTTCAACCCCCTAAGCCCCAAGATAATCATTTGTATATCTTTTCATACCTTTCCTCCAAACAGAAAGACCAGGTAGTCCTCGTTTAGTGACAGCTTCATTCAGCAACCGCTTGTAGTTACGATACGGATAAAAATAAATACATTTCATGACCAGTCCTTCCATTTAAAACTTTTACAAATCTGTAAAGCTGAATTAAGGAAAGGAAGATAAGCAAAAGCAGCTGTGCTTTTACCGGCCAGTTTCTTTGCTTAGTGACGGAGTTGCTGGTCCCAGTTGTGTCACTAAATGAGGACTACCAGTACCATACATTGCTGCCCACACCCCCAGACCATAAGTGGCCCACCTCATTTCTGAGCCCGCTGCGGTGAAAGCTTTCGGCATCCGAAGCTGGCAGACTGACACACATTCTCCCCCCTGGTCCCTTTTTCTTGACCCTTCCAGCTGTCCAGGAGGAGCGGCAACGGGGCAAAGACCGCAATGAGAACGAGGTGGAATCCACCAGCAGCGCTAACGAGGACATGCCGGTGGAGAAGATCCTGGAAGCTGAGCTGGCGGTGGAGCCCAAGACAGAGACCTACATCGAAGCCAACATGGGCATGGCTCCTAATTCGGTAAGCGAGGGGCCCGTCTAGGCCCCTCCAAGGCCCGCAGGCAGGAACCCTTGGCTCAAATACGTCCTTCCACCAGGCCTGGGAGGGCCGTAGCTCTCCTCTTCCTTCCCCTTTTCGGGTGGGATGCTTCAGCCCAGGGGTGGGATTCAAATTTTTTAACTACCGGTTCTGAGGGCGTGGCTTGGCGGGCGTGGCAGGGGAAGGAGACTGCAAAATCTCCAGTCAGAGGCGGGATTGGCCGGTTCTCCAGACTACTCCAAATTTCAGCTGCCGGTTCTCCAGAACTGGTTAGAACCTGCTGAAGGCCACCTCTGGTTCAGCCATTTTCTTCCAGTCCCGTCGGAGAAGAAGAACGTTTGAGAATGAGTGTAACCCTAACCCCAAAAAGTAACCTACAACAAGAAATTAAAGATTTAGCAACCCAACTACAAAAGAACCCCCCAAACCAAAGAACACAAAACCAGTTAATAACAACTAAACACAAACTGAATCTACTTGAACAAGAAAAATTGGAGATAAGTCTGAAAATGACCAAACAAACCTATTTTGAGCATGCAAACAAGCCAGGGAGATAATTAGCCCACAAACTTAAAAAAACGAAAGAAAAAAGACTGATACACCAATTAATGGATGAGAGGGGCAATTTGCAAGATGAGATAGAGAAGAAAAAAGAGGCCACCCCAGAGAATGAGGGTCCCAGAGGGGCTTTTTTTTTTTCAGGAGGCAACTGGACTTTCTTGTTTCTTCTTCTGAAGAGGTTTCCCTTCTCATCCTGGAAGCTTCTTCAGCTCTGACTGGATAGTGAGGAATGGAGGGATTGATACTCCTTGCAGACAGCTGGTCATTTGCATCCCTTGAGAGGGTCGTTGAGGCCACTGGGAGGTTTACCTGTGTCCTCAGGGTCACCTGAGCGGTGCAAATGGTTCCTCTAGTCTGCAATTTTTCCTCTGGAAATCCCTGCCTCCCCCCACACCATTCCAAGGGGGCTCCTCCCAAATCGTACGGCTAAAAGTCTGTAGAGATTCTCAGTCCTGGATGTCCCAAAAGTGCTTTTTCAGGAGGCAACTGGACTTTCTGTTTTTGTTTTTCTTTTGAGAAGGATGCAAATGACCAGCTGCCTGCAAGGAGCATCAGTCCTTCCCTTCCCCTCCATCCAGTCAGAGCCGAAGAAGCTTCTTGGGTGAGAAGCGAAACGTCTTCAAAAGAAAAAAACCAGAAAGTCCAGTTGCCGCCTGAAAAAAAAGGCCCCTTTGGGACAATCACGACCGGGAGGACGGAGAATCTCCACAGAGTCTGAGAATGAGCTCCAAGGCCTCCAGGACCCCGCCCCCCCTCATGGGCAGCCAACCCGGAGGGGCCTGGTCCAGACTTCTCCGGGCCGGAGTGACCCTGCAGAGTTTCTGCGGCAGGACCTCCATCTCAGGAGCATTATTGGTAGCGCTGCAGGTGGGGCCGTTTGCCCTGGGCGGAGGGCAAGAAGCCAGGGAGCGAGTGGAGGGGCCAGAGGAAGACTGGGACCCCCCAAGATAGGCTAGAAGGGCTGTTCACCCCAAAGCCTTGGGCCTCCCCACCCCCAAAGGAACCCCATTCCTCCCACACACCCCCAATTTCTCCTTCTCATTGTTTCTCTGGGCTGAGAAAGGAGCCGTAGGGGAGGAAGTGCTTTCTGCCATCCAAAGATCCTCTGCCAATCCTGCCCAAGGGAGCCTGGCCCACTGCCTGTGCCTTTCCTTTGCCAGCCAGGACTCTTGGCAAGGCACCGAAAGCGGCTGCTTCCCCCTGGCCAGACGAGCCAGGCCAGGGGGCAGAGGAAGCAGCCCCAGATGAAGGCCCAGCTTCTCCTTGGAAGCAGCCCCTGGCCCGTTCGGGCATCTGCCTGGCTGGGGGGAAAGCCACAGGGGTGGCACCTGCAACCTGTGGGCATCTGGGCATGGGGTCCAGCCTGGGATGCTCCCCGGGCAAGCAGTGCCTGAGGAAGGGGTGTGTGTGTGTGTGTGTGTGTGTGTGTGTGTGTGCGTGTGTGCGTGCGCTGAACAGGGAATCTGGGACGGCTGGGTCCTTTGCAGGCTGCCCTGGATTTTGCAGTCCCAGGAGAAAGACTCGTTTCCCCATAGCAGCCGCCTTGTCCTGGCGCCGAGACTTATTGGGGGCATCGCGGGCTCTTCCCCAGTGGCTCCAGAGTTGTGGATCTGGCTGGAGCAAGAGGCAAGGGATGCTGGCCTCAGAGACCCCTAGGGCTGGGGTCTCCAACCCCGGCCGCTTTAAGCCTTGGGGACTTCAACTCCCAGAATTCCCCAGCCAGCCGTGTCTGTTTCTTTTTATCTTACCAGCTAAAATGAGTGCAGAGGAAGGGATTACAAGAGAGCAAGCTATGCTGGCTGGGGAATTCTGGGAGTTGAAGTCCACAAGCCTTAAAGCAGCCAAGGTTGGAGACCAGCATCAATCCCGAATCTGAAAGTGACAGGTTTCCTTGCAATAAGTAAAAAACTAGAAATCCACCCCCTGCAACCCTCATGGCATCACATGCCCCAATCACCCTCCGTCCCAGCTTGAGGCGTCCTCTCACCCAGGTGCAGAAACAACATGGCCTTGACTTAGAAGAAGGATGCTAGTCTGTCTAACCACATGCACTCCAAGAAATTCCCCCCTCCCATTTTCCCAGGCTCAAGAACGTGGCAGTGTGGAAGCGTCTGGTGCTAATGGGGCTCCCAAAGCGGACACAGGACAGGAGACGGGTTTTTTTGGGGAGGGGGGGCAGGCTTTTGGCTTAAGGAGGGAACCCGCAGGGGATGGTGAGAGAGGCAGGCTCTTGGCCCTCTGATGCCCAACATGGGCTCTCTTCTCTCGGCAGCCCAATGACCCGGTCACCAACATCTGCCAAGCAGCAGACAAGCAGTTGTTCACCCTGGTGGAGTGGGCCAAGCGGATTCCCCATTTCTCGGAGCTCCCCCTGGACGACCAGGTGATCCTCCTCCGAGCCGGTGAGTAGCGAGTCAGCCCGGAGCTCCGTCCGAGATCGCGGAGCCAAGTGGCCCAACAGGGCACTTGGAGGGGGGAAGGGTGCTCTGTGGGAGAGGAAGCATTCAGGCTCTTAGGACAGATTCTACAGATTAACGGAGTTGGAAGGGACCTTGTAGGTCATCTAGTCCAACCCCCTGCTCAAGCAGGAGGCCCCACACCATTTCTGACAGATGACAGCCCAGTCTCTTCTTGAAAGCCTCCAGGGATGATGAAGCTCCCACAATTTCTGTTCCATTGGCTCACGGCAACTGAGCACAGAAGACATGGGCAAACAGCAGTGTGTCCAATTGGCTGTAACTAAGACTCCTGGTTAAACTAATAATAACGAGGAAGCATTGGATGCCGTGGCAGGCTCAGCCTGGAGAAAAGAGGACCATGTGGAGAACATCTCAAGCCACCATCTTGGAGCCGTTCAGATGGTGATAATTGCCAGGACAGGACCTCATGTTTTTCAATGGCAAAGAAGTGTACTTTGCCTAGATTAACAGATTAACAGAGTTGGAAGGGACCTTGGAGGTCATCTAGTCCAACCCCCCCGCCCAAGCAGGAGACCCTACACCATTTCCGACAGTCTCTTCTTGGAAGCTTCCAGGGACGAAGCTCCCACAACTTCTGAAGTCGAAGCTGTTCCAGGGGTTGGTTGCTCTCCCTGTCAGAAAGTTTCTCCTTATTTCCAGGTTGAATCTCTCCTTGATCGGTTTCCATCCATTCTTCCTTGTCTGGCCTTCGGCTGTTTTGGAGAATAGCTTGACCCCCTTCCTCCTCTCTGTGGCAGCCCCTCAAATATTGGAAGGCTGCTCTCCTGTCTCCCCTGGTCCTTCTCTTCCTTCCCTAGACCAGCCATGGAGCTGCCCCGCTCCAGAAAGAGAGGCAGGAGGAAGGAAGGGGGACTGGAGGCCCTGGGGCTTTTTACCTCTCTGGGCTGAGGGAAGAGGGGCCGCCTGTCTCTCGTGGGTGGATGTGAGGGAGCCTGTCTGCCTGCCCACCTCGGGCCTTCTGCAGTTCCTGCTCCCTCCCCAGGTGGTGGTCCTCCCCAGGTGCCACAGCGTAGCATGCAGGCCCGTGAGCGTCTTCCCCTGCTTTGCCCACCATTTCCAGCAACTGCAGAGGCACCCGGAGGAGAGGGGGGGGGTCTCCTTCACTCTTGTCCCAGAGGGCAGGGCCAGAATTGGGGTTCAAACGATAGCAAAGGAGTTGGACGTGAGAGGAGCATCCTGATAGGGTGAGCCATCAGCCAGTGAAAGAGATGCACCTAAGGTGCATCTTCACCAGAGATGCTGCCTGACTTTTCAGTGATTTTTTGACTCTGTTCGTACTTGCAGAAAACATATATATGACATTTCCTTCTTTCCAGAGAGGGATTTTGGAGTCCTAGTGGACGGTCACTTCAACACGAGCCAGTAGTGCGCAGCAGCAGCCAAAAATCAATTCTTGGTTGGCGTAGAAACAGAGGCACAGAATCAAATATCACATAAAGTGTTAATACTGGTTTATAAAGGCTTGGTAAGGCTATGTCTGGAATACTGCATCCAGTGTTGGTCGCCACATTACCTGAAAGATCCTCAGACTTTGGAAAAAGCGCAGAGAAGAGCAACTAAGGGCCTGCAGAGTAAAACATGAAAAACAGTTGCAGGTTTGGGGTCTGGCTAGTCCAGAGAAAAGAAGAACTGGGGGTGACATGATAGCAGCCTTCCAGTTGTTGAGGGGCTGCCACAAAGAAGAGTTGGGGGTCAAATTATTCTCCAAAGCATCAGAGAAGCAGGACAAGCAGCAATGGGTGGAAACTGATCAAAGAGAGAAGCAACCTGGAATTAAAGAGAAACTTCCTAACAGGGAGGACAATGAACCTGTGGAACTGCCTGCCACCAGAAAGTGTGGGCACTCCATCACTGGAGGTTTTTAAGAAGAGACTGGACTGCCATTTGTCTGAAATGGGATTGGTTCTCCTGCTTGAGCAGGGGGCTGGACTAGAAGACCTCCAAGGCCCCTTCCAGCTCTATTCTGATTGATGGTTTGATTGTAGTTAATACTAGGAAAAATTGAAGGCAAACGAGGTCCAGGCAGAAGAAGAACATCAGGGCTTCAAAATCGAAGGGACCAGTTTGGACAAAACTTAACAGCAATTTTTTCATGCAGCTGTTGATCAAAGTAGGATCAGCAACATGATTGCCAACATCTGATGACAGATATGGAAGTAGAGGAGGAAGAGGAGAGGAGGAGGAAGGAGGAGGAGGAAGGAGGAGAAGAAAAGAAGAAAAGGAAGGAGGGGAGGAGGAGGAAGGAGGAGAACAGGAGGTGGGAGGAGAGGAAGAGGAAGGAGAAGGAGGAGGAGGAGAAGGAGAGGAAGAAGAAGAGGAAGGGGGAGGAGGAGGAGGAGGAGAGGGAGAAGAAGAATACTAGAAGAGGGGGAGGAGAAAGAGGAGGAGGGGGATCTTCAGCTCTTACCTGCAGGGTCCCTTCCGCCGGGGAACAGGGGAAGCCCGAGCAGCCTTCGAGGTCACCTCATAGAGCGGCCGAGGACCCTGAAGTGGCTCGGAGGAGTGGCCGGCTGAGCTTCCCTCTCTGCTTCCTCTGGTGCATCTTGGCAAGCGGGTCCCAGTTCACACCTCTGGAACAATTTGGAGCGTTCCAGGACTTGCGGGTTGCAACCACAGGAGCTTGTCCTGAAAGATGTTTATTGCTCTCAAAGGGCCGTTTATTTCCTCCGCACACACATGTGGGGCAGAGAGTGAAGGACCCCCATCCGGTGACTTCCTTTAGACTCCAAATGGGGGGGGGGGGGGGGGGCTGTGGCCGGTTTCAAAGAGCCGGAGGGGGGCTGGCTGTGGGGGACAGGGCAGCCGCGTGTGGAAGCTGCAGGTCAGAGTTGGGGTGACAAGTAAAGTCCTACACTTAGGCAAGAAAAACCCAAAGGACACATATATAGACTGGGTGAAACCGGGCTCAGTAGCAGGAACAGTGAGGGGGATCTTGGAGTCGAAATAGCCGTGTGCAGCGGCAGCCCAAAACCCCCAGAGAAAGACAATCAAGATCACGACCACTCTAGGAAGCCTGAGTAAGGCCACACCTGGAACACTGCATCCAGTTTTGGTCACCGCACTATAAAAAAGAGGTTGAGACTCTAGAAAGAGGGCAGAGAAGAGCAACCAGGAGGATGAGGGGATTGCAGAGTAAAACATACGATGAACGGTTGCAGGAACTGGGCCTGGCTAGTCTAGGGAAGAGAAGGACCAGGGGAGACAGGAGAGCAGCCTTCCAATATTCGAGGGGCTGCCACAGAGAGGAGGAAGGGGTCAAGCTATTCTCCAAGGCACCCGAAGGCCAGACAAGGAATAATGGATGGAAATTGGTCAAGGAGAGATTCAACCTGGAAATAAGGAGGAATTTCCTGACAGGGAGAGCAATCAACAACGGGACAGAAGTTGCCTTCGGAAGTTGTGGGAGCTTCGTCCCTGGAGGCTTTCAAGAAGAGGCTGGAATGCCACCTCTCAGAAATGGTGTAGGGTCTCCTTTTTGGGTGGGGGGGGTTGAACTAGATGACCTCCAAGGTCCCTTCCAACTCTGGTTCCTCAAGCATGTGTAGACTCTGCCCTAGCAGCAGCAAAGAGGTCTCCCTCCGTTGGCTGCTGCTTCCGAAGCTCCCGTTCCCCAGAAGCTCCCTCACTCTGCGTGGACACGCCCGGCCGGCCTTGGGAAAGAGCTCTGCTCGGGTGCAGGATGGCTGGGCAGGAAGAAACGCCGGTTTGCTGGTCCCCTTCCAGAGGGGAGCCTGGTCCCACCATGGGAAAGGCTAGCGGGGCGTCCGTGGCTCTCCCAGATCTTCCGAGCGTTTCACGCTTTGAAGTATTTACTTTAAATTCGTTATCCCACTGCTGGGTCTCATGGGAGAAGACTGGCTTGGTATTCAATTTTATTCTGCCCAGAGACAAGATAATTAATTTCCTGATGAAAACGAAGCTCGGGGGTGTAATGACCCCCCCTCCCCCGCCCTGGAAGGCTTTGGGTGACTCCTCTCCCCCCCCCGCTTGCTTTCCCGCAGGTTGGAACGAGCTGCTCATCGCCTCTTTCTCCCACCGATCCATTGCCGTCAAAGACGGGATCCTCCTGGCCACAGGCCTCCACGTCCACAGGAACAGTGCCCACAGCGCGGGAGTCGGGGCCATCTTTGACAGGTGAGGAGCAGCGGCTGGTGGCGGGGGCATGCGTGACCTTGCCCACTCCCCTCTTGTGCCCGGGATCCAGCTCCGTGGCCTTTGTGGTGACCAGCAAGGCCACGGCCAGCCCTTGGGATTCCAGAGATTCCACGAAAGGGGCAGGAAATGCCACTCGGGTAACAAGAAGGCCAACGTCCCTCTCTTCTCGGGGCTGGGCACCTACAGGGTACTGACCGAGCTTGTGTCGAAGATGCGGGACATGCAGATGGACAAGACGGAGTTGGGGTGTCTGAGAGCGATCGTCCTCTTCAACCCAGGTAACTGAGCCGCCTCTCCTCCACAAGGAAGGGAAAAAGGGAGGTCGGGGGGAGGAAGGGCCCTCCCCTCCCTCCCTTGGGCAACCTGCCCTTCATCCAACAAGGAACTGGAGGAACACGGGGAGTCCTTGAAACTGGCCGGGCGTCTTCAGTCGGCAAGACAGGTTTTCTTTAGCTGGGGGAAAAAGAGGGTTAGTGAACAAGGGGATCGAAGCAGGTATTTTCAAAGATAGCTGGGTAGCCCCACGTCTTCAAGGCACCTACAGGGAGTCCTCGACTAAGAATCCACAGTTGGAGCGGGCATTCGTCGTCTTCTTTTAATGACCGCATCATCCCTTGCATTGGGGTGGAGTCTGGGCATCTGAAGGGAGCTGAGTGTTTCCTGGCCGGATGCCCGTCCTGTCACCGATGCGGAGTTATATTCAGCAGATATATTCTCAGTGTGCCCAGAGAGAGAAATATCTGCCTCTACCTAGGATCAAACTCACAGCCTCCTGATTGTGAGGCAAGAGCTCCACCTCTAAGCCACCGCACCACTCACAGTTGGGCATTGTCATGAAAAATTGGTGTGGTCCTAAAGCGAGACGTCCTCTGACTACACCAACTAATGACAACAATCCCAACACTCCCCATTATGGTCATTAATGTTCTGACCCAGGCTTCGTAAACCGTAATTATTCACAAACTTGTTTTAAAAACAAAACCTATTTTATTGCATCGCTGGGAATTGTTTTCATTCCCAGCCAGAACGAATCTTAAACAGTTCCCCAAAATAAGCAGACACCTTTCAGTTCTGTGAAGTGCTGCCAAAACAGAAGTATCAAATTAACTAGAACAGAAACCAACCGAAATATAAGAAAAACCAACCGAAGTACAAAGAGCTTCAAGAGTGACTCTGAACCGATCGAACTACTTTGCTTCCTGCAAAGGTTTCGTCACCTTGGCCTGACTTTTATCCCTTATGGGAGGGGCAATCTCCTCCCAGCCTTATTCCTGAGTCACCCCTTTTGTCTCAGCTGCTCTCGCCTTCTAGCAGCTCTGTGCATATGCGCACTTGGAACAGGCTCCCCTGCGTCCTCTGCCTCACTGCTGCCAGACTCTGGAGGCTCCGGAGTCAACATCCCACTCCCAGATGGCCCTGGCCCCATCTCTGCATCGGATGCAGGACCCTCGTCCGAGTCCTCTCCAGACTCCCGGACTGGTCCCTGTTTCCCCCCACGGTCTGATTCCATTGCCGTCTGCATCGGCTGCCGGTGAACCACAACAGTTAAGTGAGAATCGCCAGTCATTCCAGACCCCCCCATTCCAGTATGATTCCCCCAGCCTCTGTGAGGTAAGGGACCGCCTCCCAGTGCCCGTCTACCCCCCCCCGCCAGCTCTGCCTTGTAGGGCAGCCAGTGGCCGTAGAGTAGCTGACTCTGGGGTTGCTTGCCACATCCAGCCTCTTCGTGAAAGCTTCCAGGGTGAAGCTCCCGCCAGGTCTGAAGGCAGCTTCTGTTCAGGGGCTCAGGGAACGGGGAGGGGGGGTTGCGCTGCACCTCACGGAGGCTGGGAGGGCCCCCATCCCATGCTGAGGGCCGAGGGCCGAAGCTCTCCTTTGCCTCCGTCACTCAAGCGCCTCTCCTGGGTTCGGCTTCAGAGGGAGAAGGCCTCCGGCAGGCTCCACAAAGAGGGGCTGTCGCAGCGCATTAAGGCCGGGGGACGTTTCCAGAACCAGGCCGCTGCGACAGGAGAGCTGCCGAAGAGGCAGCCTGGACGTTCAGTTCCTTGGGCTGTTAAACTGTCGGGGAGCAAGTCCTCCTGGGTGGTGTTTGGGAAGGAAGCTTTTCGCGGGAGGAGAGTTATCACGTTAGATAAATGAAAGAGCGGAAATAAAGCACCGGAGAGAGTAACTGGATTTGTCAGGTTATCCAACCCTGACCAAGAAAGGTGGAGAGGAACGGCTGATGCAGAACCAGATTCCATCCAGATCATTCGGATGTCCTCTCGTGCAGTCCCGGCTTGGCTCCCAGGTCCGGTTCCAGCTCACAAAGCTCCCTTGGGCAGCATCAAATTGGCCCTGGGTGCCCACCGGGACTGCGGTGGCCTCAGAGGCTGAGTTGCTCCTTACAGCTGCGGTGCTAGGCGGCCTGCGTTCCCCTTGCGTGGCCCAGACTGTTGTGAGCCAGGCTCCCTCCAACAGCACGAAGCCGACTCCTCATCCCGATAAACCTCTTTTACTTAATATACGGTGAATTTCCTCTCCAGCAAAGTCCCGGCCAACAGACTTTCAAGATAGTTCCCAATTACAGACCTTTATCAGGCTTGGAGAGGGGCCAGGCCGATCTCTTTCAGACGCCACACTGTGGCAGCAATGACGTGGCAAGAAGTCAGGAACAGATCTTCACTAATGAATGGAACTAATGGTCTCCTGAAAAGCCCCACTCCCCTTTCGCTCCTCTTTATTCCCTCTAGGAGGGGACATTCACTGCCCACCTGGGCCCTTACTCCCCAGTCGACCTTGTTCCTTAACTGTTCCCTTCTCCTGGCAGCTCTGTGCATGTGCACACTGGGAACAGGCTCCAGCTGTTCTTCTTCCCCACTGATCTTCAACTCCGAAGGCAGCTGATAACTGTTGGACGGCCCTGGCCCCGTCTCTGCCTCTGATGCAGAACCCACGTCAGAGCCTTCCCCAGACTCCAGGACTGGCCCAGGTTCCTCCCCAACCTCCTCACTCTCCGAGTCTGCCGCCAGCTCTGCTGGGTGCCCTCGGGCCACAACACCGACCTCCTTGGAGGAGGCCTTGAACGGCCTTTAAGCTTCTCCTTCCCTCCTTCTCTTGCAGACTCCAAGGGCCTTTCCAACCCGGCTGAGGTCGAGGCACTGCGGGAAAAGGTCTACGCCTCGCTGGAGGCCTACTGCAAACATAAGTACCCCGAGCAGCCCGGGAGGTGAGTTGAGTCTCTTCTCACTTAGGGTGCCCTTTGCAGGACGTCCTCACGAGCAGAGAGCCGGGTGCGAAACCTCGTGAGCTGCAAGACAGCCCCCGCTTGCTTGGTGTGGCATCAGCTCCCCGAATTCCTCTCGGGTTGCGTCCTGGCCCTCCTCCAGGATCAACAGGCAGGCCGCGGGAATTTCCTGAATGCTGCAAGACGTTCGTCTTTCGTGTGGGTGGTCTTTTATTTTTTTTTAAGCAGAATTCATCCCCTCCCGTTTCCTCTGTGTGATGAAATCAGAGTAACCTAATGGTAATTAGCAAAGGAGGCTGGACTGGGGCCAAGATCCCATCTCTGTTTTCCGGGCTGGCGGCTTCCCAAGGTGGGAAGCTGCTGTGGAGAGTGGGGTTGACTCCCTCGGGCCGAGAGGTCGGCATTCTGAGCCCCCCAGATGGAAGGAGCGGGACTGTGGCCCCAGCTTCTCTACGGACCTCGGGGCTGGGGAGGGAAGAACCCCTGGGCACAGCCAGAGAAGGAGAAATGCCCCCAGCAGAGGGCCGGTTTCCTCTCCTGGGCCTTCTGGCTCCAGGACCCGTGAAGGGGACAGTTTCCCCTTAAGAAAAAGAGCATTAGCCCTTAGACTTATATCCCACTTTATAGTGCTTCGCAACCCTCTCTAAGCGGTTTCCAGAGTCAGCCTCTTGCCCCCAACAATGTGGGTCCTCATTTTACCCACCTCAGAAGGACGGAAGGCTGAGACAACCTGGAGACAGTCAGGACCGAACTCCTGGCAGTGGGCAGGGAAGGAAGGAAGGAAGGAAGGAAGGAAGGAAGGAAGGAAGGAAGGAAGGAAGGAAGGACAATAGCACTTAAACTTACATACCGCTTCAAGCCCTCTCTAAGTGGTTTAAAGGAAGGAGGGAGGGAGGGAGGGAGGGAGGGAAGGAAGGAAGGAAGGAAGGACAATAGCAGTAGCACTTAGGGTTAATACCACTTCACTGCGCTTTACAGACAGACACATAGAGGGCAGAGCAATAACAATGGGATTTATATTCCGCTTCACAGCCCCCTCTAAGCGGTTTCCAGAGTCAGCCTCTTTCCCCCAACAATCTGGGTCCTCATTTGACCCACCTTGGAAGGACGGGAGGCTGAGTCAACCTGGAGCCTGGTACCTGAGGCAGTGGTGGTCTGTTACCAGTTCGCACTGGTTCAGCCAAACCAGTAGTAAAAAACACCCACCGGCTCAGCTGAACCAATCCTTCCCACGATCAGCTAAGAGGATAAAAGAAGCGACAAGCGCTTGGGAAGGTGGGGTGTGTGTGTGTGTGTCACTTCTAGCTTTTAGTTTCTTCATCCTCTCAGCTGATTGGTGCCTTAGGGGGACGCTGTGTGCAATCACCCCCCCACCCCCAAACTGGTAGGGACCAAGGTAGGAACCCACTACTGACCTGAGGCATTTGCAGAGATGCGTGTGTGTGTGTGTGTGTGTGTGTGTGTGTGTGTGTATAGCTGCTCCTGTTTTCTTGCTAGATGCCCCTCCTTGGGGGGGGGGGGGGGGGGGGGGGGCAAAGGAAGCCAACCAAGCTACCCAGGCCTCTCCGCCCTGCTCTTCCCGGGCAACCCTGTGGAGACGTGACCATCGGCGCACCCACCCCGGCCCCCTCCCGAAACATCCTTCCCTGCCCCCCTCTTCCTGTTATCCTTCAGCCAAAATTATTCTTAAAAGCGGGTTATTTCATAGTTAAAATGTTTCTGCACGCCTGTCATCTGTTTTAGTTTAAATGTGAAGCACTTGGGCTCCAGGGGGGAGGGAGAGATTGGCAGGGCTTGATTCGGATTTTCCTGGCTGGGCTCCCACCCGCCCACCCGCCCGACTTGCCAGCTCAGCAGGCAAGAAATGCTAGTCAGGATGCAGCCCTCCCCCCATTCCGCCCCCCCGACTCCCACCCCCCGAGCCAGGAGCCCCCAAACCCCTCGCGGAGGGCCTGAAGGGGAGAGCAACAGGGCAGGAGAGACGGAGGGGCTGCTTAAAAGCAGAGGCAGCCCGTTGGAGCCCAGAGTCTCTCTGTGTGCGTGCGTGTGTGTGTGTGTGCGTGCTTGTGTGTCTGTTGTGGCATTTCCTGAATCAAAGGAAGCAGCAACGGGATCTGGAAACGGGAGGCCAAACGCTTGGGCAGGGCTGGGGGGGGGGAGGGCGCCCTGGAGACGGTCTTTTGCCCAGCCAGCCGGGCCTGGTCCTTCCAGGGCCTTCTGCTAATGCCGAATCCAGCCGAGAAGACCGGAGGCCGAGCCTGTGTCCTCCCCGTGCGCTGCATGCTCGGCCAGGCACCAGGTTCCCACGCAGAAGGTCTGCGGACACACAGGAGCCCAAACCATCCAGCCAGCCCCACTGTGGCTTTTCGGGCGTCCTGAATCATTCCACGGGCTGAAACCAGGGCCGGAGGGCTGCTCTGGCCCGATGGCCAACCCAACGGAAAGGAAAGGTAGCCCGGGAGGGGCCCAAGGGCAGCTGGGGGTGACGCCCCTTCCTCTTCTTCCAGGTTTGCCAAGCTGCTGCTCCGCCTGCCGGCCCTCCGCTCCATCGGCCTGAAGTGCCTGGAGCACCTCTTCTTCTTCAAGCTCATCGGGGACACGCCCATCGACACCTTCCTGATGGAGATGCTGGAAGCGCCACACCAGATGACTTAAAAGGACACGGGGCCAGGCCAGCGGCTTTCCTCCGCCCAGGGGGCTGCCCGACCCCCCTACCCCCCGGACCTCCGCTCTGAGACCCGTCCTGCTGCCACCTCCCCCCACCCTCGCCATGCAAGGGATGCTGCCTGCCCCATCCGCCCCCCCCACCCACTCACCTGGCTGCCTTTTGGCCCGTTTGCTGCTTCCGCAAACAACTTGCGTCTGGGGACAACTGGCTTTCGCAGGCGGGGTGTGTGTGTGTGTGTGTATGGCTTGAACAGCAGCCACCGCGGCCTGCGTGCACTTGGGACCCTGACCCCCCTCCTGGTGAATTTACTCCAACTGCCCGGAAGGACCTCAGGACACTGTAAAGCGGCCTTTCCTTAGGAATAAGGGATCGTGGGGACGCAAGGCAGGTGTCGCGGGTGGGCAAAGGAGAGGCCGGGGGTGGCCGGCTGCACCTGTACGCCTCCAGAGATGGCACTTCCTGGGCACGAGCCGGAGCAAGGCTGCCTCCTCAGGCCAGAGGTGGGCAGGGCTGCGAGCCGGCCTCCGCTGCCCCTTGGCTGCCCCTGTGTGCTTAGGGGGGGCAGAGCGTCTTTGCTGGCAGAAGGCAGGCCGAGCCACCCTGCGCACGGCCTGGGACAAGAGACCAGCCCTCCTTCGTGCACAGAGCGACTCAAAAGCCCCCCCTTTTTTATTGGGAGGGGAGGAGGTGGGG